ACATCTAAATATCATTAAAGTACACAGAGATCTGAAATCTCAATATCAGTGACTGAAAATGTAAATGTACACCTCATTATAAAGGCTCAATATACAGTCAGGCTAAGCAGTGTGTAAGGCCAAGAATCTGACAGACACTACTGAATGAGCCATTGTGTGTGTGTGTGTGTGTGTGTGTGTGTGTGTGTGTGTGTGTGTGTGTGTGTCAGGTTACACAGGCTCAGGATCACAAACACTGTAGTAAGCTTGGCAGATCGGAGGTGGTGGGGAGGACTGAGGATGGTCCCACAGTGCTGAGTGACGTGTTTTGGCTTCGCAGAACGTGATTGGCTGAGATTAGCCATCAGGCTTCTACTCTGTATGCTGAAACGTCTGAGGCTTTAAGTCAATGCCACCCTTGGCAAGATCACATGATATCTGGTTTTCTCTTTCTCTCTCTCTCTTATCCAACCCCTTCTCTCTCACTCACTCACTCACACTCTCTTGTCCAACCCCTTCTTTCTCTCTCTCGTCCTCTTTTATCCAACCCCTTCTCTCACACTCTCTCTCACACTCTCTCTCACACTCTCTCTCACACTCTCTTTTATCCAACCCCTTCTCTCACACTCTCTCTCACACTCTCTCTCACACTCTCTTTTATCCAACCCCTTCTCTCTCTCTCTCTCCCTAACTCTCTCAGCTGCAGTTATTTAAAGGGATTCCTTTTTCTCAAGGTCACCGTGCTTGCGAGTGCCTGGAACCTGAATTTCATACCTCACTGGGTTACACAGGGATGGAGAAAAGAAAAGAAAATGCAAAGAGAATAGGACAATGCAGACAAATGAAAGAAGAATGGATCAGAAAGAGTGAATGCGTGATTGAAGCAAAGAACAGGCAAGAAGTGAACAGAAAAGTCAATAGGTGGACAGTCACAAGCAGGAAAGCACATCCCAGGCCATCAAAGACCACAATCAGCCGTAATATAGTACTGTGCAAAGGTCCTCCCTTCATTTATTTAATTTCCACTCAGAACTTCATCAGCATCATCAGTGTCAGGAAAATCAGAATATATATATATTTAACTCTAAATAAATTTAGCAGTTATTACAGCGGCCATTTTTGGAAGACTTGCTTTCAGTGTTTCAATGAAATATGTAGGGATATTTTTCTACACCTTAAAAGTTCAATTCAAGTAATCCCAAACACTAGTAAAAGTAATCCCAATGATGTTGAGGTCTGGACTCTGGGGTGGCCAGTCTATCGTTCCAGCAGCTTATTTGTTTGATTTGCAAAATGTTCTTCTTTTCGTCCATTTCCTTTTTTCAGCTTCTTTGACAGCTACACAATTGTTCAGACCGTTGAGTTGTCTTTTCATACTGAAAAGATGGACCAAAACATCTGTGGATTTTTTTCAGATATGAAGCAAGACTGGAGCCTGCTTTTCTCCACTCTGAAAGATAAAATCTTTAAGTATTATTTATGTGACGTTGACAGTTTTGCAGGTCTATCAGGTCCTGCATGGTCGCTGGAGTCCTATTTTCTATCATATCTTTTAATCATTTTTGACCTTCAGGTTTGGAATATCTTTATTTTCCCTTGGCTTTTCTTTTCTTTATCATATATCTAACCTCCTCAAAAATATCTCCTAAAAAACAACTACTCAATTGCCACCAAGACTGAAAAGTAAATAAACAAAAAGTGTTCACTGACTTTTGCACTTTACTGGAAACATGCTATTAAAATTAAAAGGTTATTTCATGTCACAAGCTTAGTCCGACAGATTTGCAACCATAAGCCTTACACATCGTAACTAGATTATCCCACCCTGGGCCAAAACAGTAATTAATCTAATGTTCCACTTAACTAAATACAGCTTAGAGTCAGACAAAAATAATTATTTAATTGCGCACACACAGTCACATCACACAAAAGTGTGTGAGAGAGGCCTTCTTTTCAAAGTTACCACTCACATTTATTAACAATGCCCAGAGCATTGTTGCTGCTGTTGCGAGTGGGGTGGCTTGTAGTCCCACACAGAATGTATGTATTATTGAGCAGGGTAACAGGACTCTCTGAAACAAGCCCGCAGTTTTTTTTGTCACTCGCTGAATTATTTATGCCTCAGCCTATTTATGCTGTCTATAACAGCACTCAGGAGGTAGGGAGGTTGCGAAGGCAGCCACTGCTTCACCTGAGAAACCCAACATCTTATTATCTCAATCAATCGCATACTGATGTGTTGGAGAAAGGTGAAGCACTCTTCATGCCTAGTTTTCCTGACCAATGCCCCTTTGGCTGCTATTAAGGCCTTGTTCCTCTGAGCTCAGCCTTTCTGAGACAGAAAGGAGGAATGAGAGTGTCCTGTGGAAAGATGCAAGTCTGTGTAGGAGGGAAGAGCATGGCAGAATGAATAGAGATGACAGGATAGAAAGACACAGGGGGGTGGATGGAATATAGTAAATTTAAATAATAAATAATGTGACTGAGAAAGATGAAAATAAAGCTGGAAAAACTGACAAAAAATAGAAAAAACAGGGAAGAAAAGGATGTCGAGTCTATTTAAAGCCCTATTTGAGCTGGATTACTTCTACCAAATGTAATTTGTGAGGAATTTAACTAGCCAGTTCATATGGAACAAAATATCTATGCAGTTGTCCCACATTATCACATGCATGTGCACTTATATTACATGCAAAATGTTAGAGCATAAACTTTTTTATGAAAACATCTAGAAATGCAATTAACGTAAATCAAAATCGCAAAGAATTATAGGTATTCACTGCTTCAATATTTAAATAATATAAGACTAAGTTTCTGTTCTTTATTTGAGTTTTTAAAAAAATGTGAAAACTGAGAACCATCAGACATACCTGTAAGCTACACACTGTTTAACCAAAGCTTTTACTAGCTACTACTGGACTTTTAAATTAAAATCTTAAAATTTTAATCTAAAAAGTTATAGCAACTGATATCAGTTATTGGAATTTTTAACCCAACAGTCAGACTTCTTAAAATCAGAATTGGTATCAGCCACAAAACTGGTCAGGCCTAATGTGCACATCAGCATTACACAACAGGCGCCAGGTGATATCACAATACATGATACGCATCACAACATTTAGTTTTTGATCAGTTGAAACAAAAAAAAAGCCATAGTAGAACAGCTATATTTAAAAATGATTACAATGATTTCTATTTAGTATTTCACATACTACACTGTACCAAATCCAATTATACAGGACTAATTACGGTTGGTCATCATGCTTTAGATATTGACAATGCGCACAACTTGCTTAGAAAAGGTATTGTGATAACATTTATCATGGTAATAAAATATCATTATTTCACCTATCCCAACAAGTGCTACTCTCAATAACAAGTACAATGAATGGCTGCACTGATTAGATTTTGTTATTACATTATGTTGACTGGACTAGTTATCCACTCTTCAATTATTACACATCAGACTAGTAAAAATACAGAGTTCGCAGTATTGACTTGCCTTGGGGCGATAAACCAAATTATCGAATATCGCGATAATTTCAACCAGTGACGATATTAAGTAAATTCTTGTTTTATTTTTTATCATGTACCCTTGCCATGTGACCTTTTTCTTTTTTTTGTCATTCTTTGTATTTAACCATTGACTTTGTACAAGCATTCTAATCTATGGTAGGTTAAATTTAGACCTAAGCTATAACAGAAAAGACGGCATTTAAGTATAGACCATGCAAACATAACTAATTAATTACAAATATATGTTTTTAAAACGCCACTTGAAAAGATTAGAACGTAGCGTTTCAGTCTGGCAAAGAATGCTGGGTATATGCAAATGAAACACTCCGCTATACGTGACCTTCTCCACAGACATGGAAAAATGGATGAGCTTGTACAGAAGAAGGGTGTTAGCGCCCGTTTGGCAATGTTTTGGTTTCCAACCAGACGAACACAGAGAACCGTTATATGTTAACAGTAATACATGCCGTCTATGCAGAAAACTGATCATCACCAAAGGCGGCAATACAGACCTTGAATCCACAGTATGAGCTGCCAAACCGTAAGTACTTCAGCAATACAGCGGCGCCTGAGATGTATAATAATGTTAATTGTGTATGAAACAATCTAGGTTGTTAAAGACTATAATCAAAATAATATTAATAATTATCATTATTTCTTCTAACATAATTGTTTTTTCCAGAATTAAGATACACTGCTATAATTCTCCTTTGCTGTTCCACTGAGACGCAGCACTTCACTTACATAGGCTGCAATAAAATGATCACGTGACTGAACGGCCCACTCACTTGGGTTTTCTTTGTAAATTAATTTTTATCACGATAATATCGCTTATCGCAATAATTCTGGAGACGATAATCGTTTGTCTACATTTACATTATCACCCAAGACTAGTATCGACTCACAGTGGATCATCTCTGTAAACACTTAAGTTATAGTTTCTACACAGGTAAAATGAATCTAGCTTAAACAGGGCTTAATATTAGGTATTAAATATGGCATCTTATGGCTAATCAGCTGTGAGAGCCACTCGATCTCTCAAGACTCTCCAGAGAGAGATATCAGAAGTCAGAGAGGCTGAATATGTTACACACATTGTGATGGTCTACAGGACCAGTGAATGGCAACCCATTTCATACATCAAAGACAGACTAGACAGGAAGATTCATACAGATAAACGAAACAGCACCATTGTACCACAAACAAGTACAGACAATGCATAGTGCTCCATTAGAGGCATTCTCATAAGTGGCCTCCATTAATCTTCTATCTCCTATTTATCTCCCTTTCACTCAGTCATATGAAGGAGACATCAAGAAGCACATACACTTAAAGTTAACCCCATCATTTACAGTTTTTGTCTAATCCTATCTAAGCCACAACCCCAAAATTAACCAGTGCAATGTAAACACCAATGAAAACCTCTGTACAGATTCATCAGAGAGGAATATGAATACTGGCAGGGATCTTACGAATGTGCCAGGTTAATGAGGTCAGATGCATACCTGTCCTTTCCTGTTGACACCAATGATTCCAGAAGTGGCCTCATGAGGTGCTGTAACAAAAATGGTCTCCCCGCTGATTCTGTTCATGTAGATGCAGGTTCCTGTCTCCAGATCATATAGATGGATGTAACCATATTTGGTGATGAGGAACACAACGTCCTGTTTGGGGCTGATCTGTTTAAAAGGACATCATATTTAATTAATATTTTTTTTTATTAAACTAAATTGTAACTGCTTGTTTGCCCTAGGTAAGTACATTTGTGGAGAACTATAGCTCTAACACAGACCAATACTAATCACCTTTACTTTGTGTGATAATATGCAGAAAACCTCACAAACTCAATCTGACTTTTAATAGCAAAGCATTAGGCAAAACATACCTGCATGGCCACTGGGAAGTCGTTCTGAGCTTCAGGAGGGAAGAACACATCCACAGCTTTCTTTGGAAAGGGTTGATTACCAGTTGGCGGAGTTCCTACTTCAATGATGTGAAGCTATAATATAAAAAAGGATAATACCATTACTCATTCTGCGTCTTTATGTAAATGGTAGGAGCAAGCATGTATCGGTCTTAAAGTAATGCCAAACCATGAGTTTCATCTACTGAACCATCAACTCTTAGTATGTGTCTTATTTTTCAGTGAATTTATGGCATGTCAAAGTTTAAAGCCGCACGATGTAAGATTTGTTTGTTGAAATGGACAGAAGCAGTATTACTGAGCCAGGAGAAGAAAAACATGCTAAGATTTGCTGTGCATTTACTCCTGTGAGTCACCCTGCAGAGCCTGAAATGATAACTTGATGTTGAACTTAAAAGTCAGAGGCATCCAAGAAATTTAGAGTTTTTCAGACCACGTTATACTTCTGAACAAATTCTGGCTCCATGTTTAAGACTCAAATGCAGAATCAAAATTATACTAGTGATATCAACTTTTCTCTTTATTAAATGAACTGCCCATCATTACTGTACGTGATAGGTGAACCTCAACATTTCAAAAAGCTTGGCTAACCAACCAATCCAAAGTAGGCTAACCACACCATTTTTTTACAGTTCCGAGAGCTGCATGTTGGAGTTTATTTTTTAATCCATGAATATAATAGGCTGTGTTAAACAGAACGATAAGAACCATTCCCAATAGCATTTTACAGCATAAAATCTACCTGTGTTCAATTCAAAGTGTGTAATTCACATGCATGTCGTGACACCCCTATATTATACTGATGAAGATATGACGACAATAGTAGCTAATTAATTTAAATCCTTGGAGTACATGCTGTTCAAAATAATACAGGGTACAAATATTTATAAACTGTTTATGCTATGTAATTTTTTAAACAAATCTCAATAATAAAGTAAGTTCATGATTAAACTAAGTCATAATCTGACACTAGGTATGTGCAGACATGCCTTTCCACCAGCCTGGCCACGGACAGCAAAGCAAAACAGAGTTGACTCTTCAGAGTTTCCTTCCATTTTGAACTGAGCAAAGCTGGCAGCGTGGCCCTCAATGGGCTGCGACACCTTCCTGTCGACAGAGTACAGCTGCATCGCCCCTACAACTCTGTTTTGCTGCAACACAAAGCAAAGACAAATAAGCTCAAATGTATTTAAACAATGTAGAATGTGGCAAAGATAATAGTTCAGCTTTTCATAGCCACACTGGTATGTCTCTTAGACATATACTTGTAGACCACAAGAGTTAAAGCATTTGACACACAACAGTAAATTTTGTATGCAATAACACGTGGATTTAGTAACTAAAGAATTCAAAAAGAATGAAGAAAACTGCAGCATGGTTGATTAGAACACCTGAGCTGAGATGCCAATAAGGAGGAGCCATTTCTGCTTGGCATCAGTGCGGTAGTTGATAATTTGGCAGCCTGCCAGACTGGAGTGGCGATCAAAGACTTTGACTGGCTGCGAGTCTCCCTCCATGCTCCAATGGTAGACGGCATTATCAGTCACTAGAGCAACCGTGTTGAGGGAGATCCACTTCCAGAAGGTGACATCATCGGTCATAGTGTGGGCCTTCATCTTACTCTTCATCTCGATGTTAAAAATCTGAAGGGTTTTGGCAGCTATAATGGGGTAAATAGGACACACAAGAGTTGAAGGGGCTCTGACAGACTTAACAGCAGATAATAGCACAAATATTACTTTGAAATTACAACACCACTGATTATCAACAAATTAAGGTAGAAAAATTGATAGCCATGGTATCAGGCAAGCGCACCATGACTGAGAAGAACTTTCAGCAGTTAAGATAGAGACAAAGCAAAGAACGAAAAGAAACACAGCAGTGTATAGAGGACAACAGATAAAACTCAATACATGTTTTACAGGAATAGAACAAGGATGTCACAGAAGACTGGATGAAATCTACACAAGTTAGATCAACACAGATTACTGATTTCATCGTAATATATAACCACAGATTGACTCACAGGGCCGGGTTGTATTTAAAGTGTGTTAAACGAAGGGAAAAAGTCGATTTAATCCACTCACCTGCATCAGTTCCAATAGACTACATAAACAGGCACACAGGCATTTATACAGAAGTAATGAATGACTTTTAACCATATGAATTGACCATTTTCAAATAGGCCTGTCTTAATTATCACAATCGCCTAATCACAAGTATTTGCGCAAGTAAATCAGTGGTCTCAGTCTAGACATCCTTTGGACCGGTCTTGGGCTAATATGGAATCAAAACTGATCTCAAGACTGGTCAGCAATGACTCATTCTGCGGTAACTGGAAACTGAACTTGAATCATTACTGAATATCAACAAAACCTTCAAACAGAATAAAAACACTTTCTTTACATGTTTATATAAAATCTATTCGCTATTCGTCAGCTAAGGATCTAATTGATCTTTCCATGATGGATTAACCAGGTATTATTGAGATATACGGATATACAGATATATTTAGTGTGATTTATACTCAGTTGATTTAGGTGGGGACTTCTGAATAAGTTTTAGGGAAAAAGGGACAGAGAATAACCATGATCTCCAAAATTACAATCCAAAGACTACCATGCAATACAAAGACTATAATATAACTAAATAAAAATATTTTTAGGCTATTTTTCAAATATTTAGATATTGGAGACTATATATAAAAGGTTATGATTTACAAAATACATTACATAACGTTATGTATTTTCATGCACAATAAAATACATGTAAATAAAAGAAAGCAGAAAATCTTTGTTATGGAAGCCCAGCAGTGAATAACATTTGAGTTCTGGCTGTTTCTGGTGTCAGCTGGGTATGCACAATAAGTATGCACAGCTAGGAAATAAGATTTCCAATTTGGCCACTTCAGACTTACACTTTAATAGTACCAGTACTACAATTTCACAAACACGACAGGCCTATTTTCAAACATACAAAACTGGTTAAAGAGCCACAAGAGTGCACGTCTTTGGATAAGTGTCAAAAAGTTGCACTTGAGAACAGAAGGCGGCCTGAACAAAATCATCATCGTGTAGTGTGGTAAACTGAAGCATTCACTGTAAGAATTTTAGTCATGATTGGGCACATCGACTGAAGCAGATTAACATGTTTTAGGCATGTAAGTATATGATTCCAGTAATCACCTGATGATCACATGACATGCCTTCAACAAGCACAGAGAAAAGGAAAAGAGAGCATAAGTATTGCAAGGCTGGGTAGGGTCACTACACAATCAATATTGTCTAAATGCTGTTTAATGACTTTAGCACTACAAACTCTCTCACATGGCATAACTGGCCTTAACATGTAAATGCTTTAAAGGTGTGTATAAATAAGTAAACAATTTCAAGTCGGCATGAATGAAGTATAAAGGGTAGTCTGATCCGCACTAGCACACACTGATTAAATCTGGGGCTCATGAAACAGGCTAATAAAACATCCCAAACCACAAATAACCAATGAAATCAAAACTAATCTTATTTCATACTGCCGCCATGGCGGTTGCGGTTATTCTAAGAGAGCTTACTCATGGCCTTTTCTCCCGCCATCAAACAGAACAGCCTGCTCATCTGATTGAACAGAATAAAGCTAACCACCCTTTGTTCAAACATGAAATTCCAGATTATAATCATCATCCACTGGTTTTGCTACACACCAGAGAAAGGAAAAAACGCCTTCGAAGGACAATAATTCAATTGACCACAGATGTTCAAATATTCATGCTGCCTCTGCACAAGGACAATAAAAGTAGTGTGTGCTTTAGAGATGCATTGATACTATTTTTTCAGACCAGTACATGTTTTTCCACTTAGTTTGTGAGTGTAAATTTACTTTAAAAATTTAATTATTAAAATCTAGCTCATTTTAAATAATGTGCATTAGCTAGCTAATCAAGCAGTGGAGAAGAGCGGGTTTTGTTACACATTAGAAAAGCTCCTCTGTACAGCTGTAAATAAAAGTACGTGTCATAGTTTAGATTCTATGGTCCTCATTACAGTCTTTGTAGCACACTGACAGCACAAAACTTACAACTCTTCAGTCTAATAGAATAAAGTCAGTTTATATGCACTTTGCTAGCAAATGTCGACCTTTTTGCCTCCATTTTGCTGCCTACATGTGCCCACCTGCACTGGGGATGGGGCTGCGATTGTGTTTGCGTGTTTTTAAAAACAAGCTAAAACCGCACAGTGATTTGAATTTTAATATAAAAAATATACCAAGGAACGTTTAAAGTGACGTGCCAAATTGCAACATCGTCAGCAACAGTTGTGTGAGCAGACCCTCGTTCACTGCCAGCTTGACTCGTGTGATTACCGCGGCAGTGTTCACTAGGCTTAAGTCACACAATATCAGGTGGTGCTGGATGTTGGTATCATGTGGTACTGGATGTTGGTATCGGTGCAATTGAGTAAATGAGAACAGTATCAGGCTGATACCCAATACCAGTATAGGTATCGATGCATCCCTAGTGTGCTTTATTTTAAATAACTTCAGTATTTAAATCTTGCAATCTGATGTAGAGACCAAAGGAAAGGCCTGGAATTAAAACAAAATAAACCTGTTTCTAGGTGAACACTAATTAGAACAAAAACCAAAGAAACATTTACTAAGCTCTACACTTGAAACAAACAGCCCTATGTAATGTCTTGAGGACTACGAGACAACTACAGGAACCATAAAACCATACAACTTCCTTAACCTACATATTACTACATTTACAGACACATATTTTTAATGCTAGTTCAGACAGAAAAAACTCTGAAGGTGAGGGACAGGTTTTAAAATGGCAAGCGATACAAATTTGTAAAATGAAAATTTCAATTAAAGAAAAGAGAAAAAACAAACAGACAATGCATTAAACCAGCCAAACTGATACTGTATAAATTGCATGATTTAGGAAATCAATGTAATGTGCGCATTCACGCCGTAAAAGGTGTGGAAGTCAAATCCTGTTTAGTTCAAGTAGGCCAAATGGTGTTGCATAGTCAAGCACATCTCTCTTTACAGTATACTAAACAAAAACAAGAATTGGAGAACAAAATGAAGGTCACAACAAGCACGGGTGACAACACCGAGTGCATTTACATGCCCTTAATAATCCGATTATTATCAGATTTTGGCAATGATCTGATCATTCCAGCGGTCATGTAAACAGCACACTTCAATTTTTTAGATCGGATTAAGACCTAGAAATCCAATTAAAGCAATTCAACGAAGAGAGTTGGATTTTAGCTCAGTAATTGGGTTTTTCTGTTTTTCTGAATGTATACCTTACTCTGATTTCTTTTGTTTTTCTCAGTATGCGCATGTGAAAACAGGCCACTGTTCTGGTAATAGCAAAAAGCGTTTAACCTGGCACAAAACACTTTTGGAGTGATGCTGAAACCAACTACATGCTTGATGAAAGACGACATATATTTAGTGGTAAAGTGGCTCGTTTTAGAAACTGCCTGACTGACAGATCCTGAGTTTTCTCACTGTGTGATCACCCAAGTGCTTGTAAACATGTTAAACTAATTACTGACTAAATCCGATTATCTGCAGTTAGCAGATTATTAAGTGCATGGAAACGCACTCATTGATTTTCTTGTCCAATTCTTGTGTGTATTATGTGTAATATTTTAGAATTTTATGCAATTTCAGCCAAAAAAAGATTTATTCAAAACTATTAAATTGAAATGTACTTTTAAAGACTCTGTAACAGCAAATAACATAAGAACTGAGACTTAATTCTACATGAACATACTTGTCTGCACAACAGATCTGACATACAAATATTCTATATAATCTTCTAAAATGCTTTGAAAATCGAAATGTATGCCTGAATAGTAGCAAAATCAACTAAATTTCCCATTTCAAAAACAGGATAGTAACTTCCACAAGACATAGTACTTAAATATTGACTCACCGTCTGCATACACATAAGAAAGCAGTAATAAAAAAATAAAAGAAAATAAAAGAACAAAAACAAGACAAAAAACAAACAGACAAAGCAATTATGGCTGCAGAACAAAAAAAACTATCAGCTATTCATTTTTAGCCAAGTGTAGCTAGACTAAGTGTAGCCAAATACTGTTAAATATCAGTCCACAAATGGCATGGGGATAAAAATAAAAAATAAATAAATAAATAAAAATAACTACTACATACACAAGCATGGATGAGACTCAAATAAAAAAACTGAAACAATGTCATACCAAATACAAGTATTTATTTATTTATTTTAAAGAATATAGATAAAGCAATCATCAGGCATAAAATATTCTCTTTTTCTATCTCCACATTTCTACTTCTATTAAATTATCCAGTAACATTTAAAACACGCACAAAATGTATAATAACTTGTACCTTTGAGGGCAATGACTTTGCTGGCCGGATTCATGATGGCGCTGTCTGCAGAGATGGGCCGACGAATAGGGCTATTTGGGTCAGCCATGTCAATAATCACCACCTGTGCCTGCTCTCCAACCTTTTCCCGGACACAGATGAATTTATCGGACTCCATCGTGAGGGTGCTGAACCCAATATTGGCCGGGTTGATGCCCAAGTTCTGGAGCTGTTTAGAAAGAAAGAGAGAGAAAGAAGAAGCTAATACATTTGCAAACAGGCATTTTAGTTTTTTTTTTTACCCTCATTTCTCTCCCCAGTACAGCTGTTTAGCAATTCCACCAGCTAGCTACATCTCCTCTTATCTCAATATGCTACCAGGCTGGAAGGTTGAGGGCAAACAAAATGCCTCCTACGAGACACATGAAGGCAGTGACTGCATCTTTTCCACTCTGCCACTCACGCAAAGTGAACAAACAGCTCAAAAAATAATGCCAGTATTTCAAAATACTGACAAGTCAGACTTCTATTCCATGACTGAACGCCAAAATAAACACATTCCACTCATTTATATTTCAGAGAGGGTCACTCATTGGTGGTGTGGGAGCTCTCTGATAGGTGGCGCTAATAAAAATAGAGTCAGGAAAAACTAAGCACTATGGCTTATACGAGCTATACTCACCACAGAACATGTGCGATTTCAGCTTTCACTATAACACCAGTCAATCGACTTTGCACTCTAAATGTCCTTTAAACAAGTGTCATTTTAGCATCACTCAGCTAGAACCAAGCCTGTGCTGTGGTCTGTAGCATATCTGCTAACTAGGCAAGTTCATGTTAATTTCACAGAACAGGTTCAGTTTCGAGTTTCTGTCACCCCAACGCCCATCACTTGACCTTTGCTCTTTTAGGGTGCTTTCTCACCTACTTTGTTTGGCCCGAACTAGAGCTGGGTGATATGGCCAAAAATGTTATCACGATAAACAAAATTCATATGAGTCGATATCAATACATATTGCAATAAATGTCAAATCATTATTTCTTTCAAGTTTGAGGACTGATTTTTGCTCCTGAGTGGTTAATTCCTGTGTTAAACTATCCTTTATGTTCAGGACATGACAAGCACTTGCCAAACAGTGGAACATTTCACAAATCTGTCATTAGACAGTGCTAGGCTATCCCATTACAAGTGCTAAACAAGTGGTAAACAGTGCTAAACAGCAAACATTACCTGGCTCGGTACGTCAGTGATGGATCACACCGCCTTACTGCCATTGTTCCTACCACATCCATTTCAGAGCATATCACAGTATTCAAACACCAGCTAGCAGACGTCTGGATTCCTCTATAGTAGCTTGAGGGGTGAACCACAATATATCTAACACTACACAGAGACCTCCTTTTAGGTCCATTTAAACTGAAATCAGTGCTTTTGTGTCGTGTTTGATCAACAGTAACATCAATTCGCCGTGTTGTGCGAGTGACTGAGAACTGCTTCAAGTTAGCCAGTTGCTAAAAACAGCTAGCATGGGAAACTAGTGCTCTCTCACTCTCCAAAACAGCATCCTCAGTTTACTTTCTTTTAAATCAGTGCTGTAACTTACATGAACCCACTACTTTCTTTCACCTTTGTTGCTTGGGAATGCACTAATACTTAAATATGACTGTCCGAGCGCTGTAGTTGTGTGCAGCAGACGTGATTTAACTCTGCTAAAGCTTGTTAGGATGTTAGGAAAGAGGTGAGTTCACTGTAGGACAGTCCAGTTACACCACTTATCTCTATTTCTTTTACTTATCTATCTGTCACTTACACTTGGTCACAGGAGGACAGATCGCCGATCGCTCCACTCAAACAGGGAATGTATAACTCCACGTTTTGGACATTGCTAAAGTATATTTGGCAACTCATTTTACTCGTTGCTCCCTCCCTCTCTAATACATGTCGAAAAACTTGGAAGTGTGCCCTCTTGTGGCGACAGCAGAGTAGTGTCGCTTTTCTTGCAGTAGAAAACGCCACCAGGGCTGACGCCAGGACATACAAGTGTGAGAATGCTCTATTATATTGAACATATATCGAACATTTCTTATAGTTCTATCGAGGAAAGTTACATCATGATAATTATCTTTATCGTTTTATCGCCCAGCCCTTCGGACTTTTCAGTTTGGTTGTCAAAACTAACCAGATCAAATGTATACAATGTAACAAAAACATGAACCTTGGTTTAGACCGTGGTCCAGACTTTCAGGTGTGAAAACGCCCTTAGACATTTCTTTTGATCATGTACACTAATTTCAACATGGCACCAGTTAATCAGAACAAAACCTATACTGTGGTGTGTGGCACGGTTTTTTTGAAGTCTGCTCTGTAAGCGAACATTAAGTTAGCCAATAAGCCAAGCACCATTAAACAGGTTTAATATCGCTGCTTCCTTTTGCAGCAGTTGCTTGACTTCAGTCACTCACAGATTTCAATCACTATCATCTAAACTTTTGTTGGTACTTTAGTTAGCCAGAATCTAACATGTTACAGTGGTTATCATGCTAGCTAAGCTAATGCTAACGAGCTCCCCCTCCTAGTTAACAGATGGTTTGACATTTTTTGAATGTTTCAAATACCTCCCCCCCCCCGGCAATTCTGTGTACCATGTTAATATTTGGAAAAACTTTTTTTGGAATATTTTTTAAAAAATAGGACGATATTTCCTGACATTAGTCACTAAAGTCACAGTTTCCCTCCTGGTAGAGCATCAACCTCTGTCATTTTGGCTACATAAAAGTGGCCCAAATCTAATTTTTTTTCCATCAAATCCGATTTTTTTGTTTGGCTGTTCACAATATCTTTTAAATGTGACCTCTATGCAACATTAGTCTGAACAGATCACGCACCTAAACCGACCCGGATGCGCAAAAGAACAATGATTCACGTTGCTTCATGTGGCGCGCTCAGCCAGAGTAAACACTTATGACTATGAACAAATGGCAGTCGCGCCAGCACCACAGGAGCAATCATGAAGTTCCGATGATTGACAGCTGGGCTCATCACCCAGAATGTGTTAGAGCTTGCCATTAAAAGTGCATGGTCACTTCTTCGCTTTGCGTCCTCAGATTCTTTAAACTTTGCTTTCAGACTTGTAACTGTTCTTTGACGCAGCAGCCTTGCTCTCCGGCCGTGTTCGGTCATTTCTTTCAAAATCTCTTCAAACACAGAGCGGTTGCAATAAGTGCCTTCTAATGTTTTAGTACAGAAACATCAGCCTAAATGTTTGAGGTCTCAGTAGCACAAAATTATGACGAATGAGGAGTTGGACTGATGAAAAGTCAGAGTGGTCTGTAGCATATTTGGCCTGCTAACTAGGCAATGAACTCTGAGCTGGCTGTTCAGACTACGTCACCTCGCCGCATATCGGATACAGACCAGACTTCAGTACCACATATGAAAGTGTCTCAAATCAAAATTAAAAATGTCAAATTCAATGTGTTTTTTGCTGTTCACACTGCCACACAGATGACACATCTGTGTCACATATGAAGTAAAAGATCAGATGTGATCTGCACAAATGGCCTTTCTTTCTGCAGAGACTTTAAGCAGCTTTATCTCTGGTGGGAAATTCCCAAAAGAACAGCAATTAAGAAACTACAGTACAATGATTCATGTGCAGAGGTACAAAATTACTGCGAAATTAATTTCATACTAGCCTTCTTTAAGCAAACTACGAGACTCCTGTTGACTTGGAATTTTCCATTTATATTATAGAACTAAAGATGGCACAACACCACTAGATACAGATACAGAGTATCGGCGGATACTGACACTGATCCAACATTTATTTCTTAACTGTACAATAAGCTATTTACACTAAAAGATGGGCATCAAAAAGTGCAAAGGATTTCGCTTCTTGCTGTCAATGTGACTCCTGATGAAACCCACCTCTGTCTCCAGACTGCTAACTAGCAAAGTTAGAAAGTTAAATTTATCTTTGAGAATCAATGAGTGTGCGCTAACTTGCTAATTCCCCAAGTGTCCATATTCCATATTTCTGAATGATCAAGGTTTTTAAGCCAAACATTCAAGACAATATGCAATAGTTGCAGGTCTACATCTGTGCTATTTTAGGCAAGATTTGTTCAGGAATGATACTGAATTCATGTTCTTAACCTCCAATATCCAATCCAGCACTTTTTCTACTGCTATCAAACCAATAATAACAAGGAGTACTGGAACAGGATCCCTAATTCAAGCAGAGGAAAAATGGGCCAGAAGCTGTGAAGCTAGAGCTCTGAGAGCGTGTCAGTGTCTCTGACCCACTGCTCCATTCACCTAATGTTTCTCCTTGTTCATGAGCTGTATTCAGAAAGTATCTTAAAACAGGACAGCTGATCAGCAGCGGTGCACTAGAACATGCACTATGTAGGCTAATGCATTTCTGGCTGATGTTCACTACATTGTAGTGTATTTTATGACTATGTAACCACATAAACATACATTGCTGCTAAAACGTAGCATGTTTGAGTAAATGAGAATGAAGAGCAACGCCAAAGCCAAATGAAGAGCCAGTGGGATGCCAGCTTTGCACCACCACACCAACTGCTCCAAAGACAAGATTCAGCAGTCTGAGCTGTGTGAGCTGGCAGCCGAAGCACACGGTGGGCAGACTTCATGAAGTCTGACGCAGCAAAGCGGAGGCTACAACAGCACCGATTTGGGCAAGAACATGCCGCGTCTTACACTACAAAGCTAGCATGCAGCACACAGATGCTCCATTCAATAATGCCTTAATTCTCACTCTTACAGCTGGCTAGCAGACAGCTTGGAGAAAATTGAAAGAATTTAAATATAAAAAAAAATAAATAAATGAATACTTACATCTGAAATGAGGATGGATATATGTAAAGGAACTGAATGACAAGGCGTAGGAGACATAATTAACTATAGGTAGGTAATCCTGCACAAAGGGTCTTGGGTCTGCTACTGAAATGCTTTCTCTACACACACTGAGATGGCTGAGAAGGAGTAGCTCTTAATACTGAAATGCTGCCAAAGTCCTGCCTTCCATATCACACGTCTAACAGACTACCAACGACTAGGAGATTAATTCAAACAGAAGGAGAGAGAAAGCTTTAAAAAAATATTCAACATCACAGCTTAGTGGTAATGCTTTGAAGTGTTCACCAGCTGCCAGAGACGACATATGACAAGAATAAGAGTTGACAGTTGAGCGTAGGGGTGAC